ACACAAATAAAACATACCGGTGTCCATAAAATAATAATGTAAATAACTTTTCTCACAACAATGACAACATAAATGTTTTGTTACTTACGATTTATTTTGATATCGGAGTGTCGTGTCCGCCCCAGCGACTGCCTCAACGCACACTGGCTGCGCCGCGTCGCGTTGCGCAGTGGGAACGACCGCGCGTTCACTTTTCTTATTTTTAAAAACAACTTTTTAAATCGGCAATGGATCGGTACAGACACACAGACTACAGTGAGTCGCACAACCAGCGGACGAGACGTGTCGCAACGGCTCGCATTGTAGCCCTCCCCACCTTGTACAAAGTGACCTTATCGTTTGGCTGCACTCAGTAACAGCGAGTGCAATATAAAGACGTACTTACCTACAGCGCCATGTCGCGATACTATATACATTAATACTTCTCAGAACTATACTACGAAACCGCTGAAGATGCAATCTTGAGCAACTACCTTGCTTGTATTACATTACAAAGCTGAAACTTGCGTCTACTAACTACACAACGAACGACTTTTAAAACTTACCGCTTTTTTCTTGAAGCGCTTTCTTTTGTCACCTTTCATTAAAAACCGAGAGTTTTAACAATAGCTTAATAACCGAACAATGAACACCTAAGGGAATTTGGAAAACATTTTGACATGCAGTTGGTCCGGTGACCGGCGGGGAACTGGCCGGGCTAGGTGCATCGAAGCAGGGATCACTAACGCAGCGCACTAATTGGAGACCCATTTCCATCAGACATGCGCTTGAATATCGAACTGTATTCAGGACATCTGAACGAAGACGAAATATTTTATCACTAGAACCTATTTTCACAATACATATTTTTATAAGTTGTGCATCACAAGCTTTAGAAAAACCACACTACGCTCTTCGAGGACCGTTCCAATTCGCTCAACTCTCAGTCGTGCTTACCCTATTCAGAACAAAACCAAGTTCTTACAAGAATATCACAAACTTGACCTACATATTATCCTGTATTAGTCACTGCTATTTAAAAATAAATTAAGAAATTCATCCAGACATTTTAAGGAATGTCTTAAATTCGAAGTTGATCGCGACACCAAAGGAGCTAATAGTAGCTCGCTCGAATTCGTTACTGCGTAGTAAGCACTGCGTTTCTTGAGGCGTATTACGCAGAAACTAACCTAGGTCAACCGTGAAGGACAATGCACAAAAATGCATTAGCCATAGTTATAAAAAATTTAATCTACAAAATTGATTAATTACGTACCTAACAAGGATTAATTGAGTAGTTTTATTTCCTTGGTATAATAAAGAATTGGTTTACTTTTTAATACATACAATTGAATTCAGTTTTTGATAATAGAATCGTGCTTTCATTAATTCATTTAAAGATATGAAAACATAATTTATATTAGATTTCTTTCTAGCAAAACTTTCAGACACAGGTGTAATATTTGACACTTAAAATATGCTAGAATAGAAAAAATGTCCAAGTATATCAGATTCTCACTAACTAAGCCAGCCATCCCTCATTTTTGCTACGAATTTTTTGTGATCTAATTTTGAATTGTATTAGAATGTTAACTTCCCCAAGTTAACATTCTAATACAATTCAAAATTAGATCACAAAAAATTAAAATAATAAAAAATGACGTTAATTACCTCCAGACTAAAAGCAGTTCATATTTTTAGCAAATATACGCTGCGTAGGTCGTCAATACCTAAATGATCATTCAGACAATTTATTTTAAACTTCGAAATATGCTTAATGATTCGGTATATTGAGGATAAACACGCTTTGATGCTGGTCCAGCTCCACAGGATAAGTTACACGAAAATTACTCATGCGTTAGTAGTTTCTTCCTTAAATGGAACTGTGTAGTCTTTATAGTATAAAACTAAGTCGCTTTCTCTGTCCCTGTATCCCTACATACGCTAAAATCTTTGAAACTACTCGACGTATTTTGATGCGGTTTTTTTTAATACTTCAAATGAGCCCTATCCCTATCAGTATAAATAAATAAATGCATCAACAAAATTCAATTCAAACAATCGAATAAAAACTGAACTTTCTTCACGCATCAAGTGCCACTCTATTGAATTACTGCGCAGTATAACTGACATGCCAAGGTAATGTCCAAGTTTGCAAGGGGGAAAACTGCGTATTATTCTAGCATGACGCAGTGGCTAGGCGACTGGCTGTACGGCTATGAGCCAGGGGATCGAATCGTGGAAAAAATTTATATGGTATACAAATATGGGAGAGCCAAGCTTTCGCACGAATGGGTCGGCTCGACCGGAGTGATACCACGGCCTCACAGAATACCGGCGTGAAACAACCCACAGTGTTGTGTTTCGCCGTGTGAGTGAGGTTACCGGAGGCCCAATCCCTTCCCTTTCCCTATCCCTTCCCGATCCTTATATCCCCAACCCCTATCCCCAAAAGGCCGGCAACGCACCCGTAACTCCTTTGGTGTTGCGGGTGTCCATGGGCGGCGCCGATTGCGTACCATCAGGTAATCCGTCTGCTTGTTTGCCGACTTATACCTACCATAAAAAAAAAGATAAATGTTCTGGGTTTTGGGATGAGATAGGACTTCAGAAAAGAAGTCAGATCACCTGATGGTAAAAATTGGGCACAGCATGAACACTCGCATTACCAGAGAACTCTTTTGACTGCAGTGTGTTTTTCGGGTCTGAGAATGATGTTTCTGTGAAATTATATGCTTATAAACGCAACCCACGACACATTGCTTGAGTAGGGAAATAATGACTCTCTCTCGGCTCACCCTGCGCGAGAGAAGTCACTTGACAATTTTCCCCTCACAGAAAAAAGGCTCACATGCATACTTTCCTTTTTTATTAATCATAAAATACCTAAAAATGTTATTGCAAAACAACTAAGTAAGCATAGCTGTTAGACCTAAGTGATTATTTTATCTTATCAGACAGTTTTTAAGCGGGGAACACTGAGTACAACGGCAACTTGTCTATGGACATGTTTTGAACTGATAAACGTGTTGTGTTTAGTTAGGTGTGAAGGCTCAGCTGTGAACATGGCTGCTAGCTAAACCCTTTTATTTACTTTGACGGATAAAATAATTAGTTTACTTTGAGTATGTGTCCAAATTAAGTTGTATTGTTATAGTGAGGCATTGTAGGAAAAAATGCGGAGCGCATGAGGGAGCTATCCTTCTCAAGCCCCAGTCGCATTTCGCGCGCGCCTCATAGAACCAATAGACCACCTTAGATAGGGTCATATGGGGCTGATGTTCAGCCAGGGTTTCGGGGTAAGCGCAATGAGGTACCGCAGCCTCAGCCTAAAGCAGGAGAAGTAAAGGAGAAGGGGAGAGAGTTAGTAGTAAGAGTCTGACACTCTCTGGCCCCTCTTCGCTCTCTCGGAGAAGTCTTTTAATGATTTTCCGCTACCAAAAAAAGCCAGCTCGGACCAAGAGAAGAACCGGTTACGTTTTAGTATTTTAGTCTATAAGATATTTACGCCTTGGATGAAAAGAAAGAAAGAAAATTCTTTATTTGACGTTTCAGTGCATAGTGACTATTGAACATAAATGCTAAAAGCAGGTGTACTGTAAATAAGTAGGTCTAGGTAGGTAAGTAAAGGCCTGCATACCTATGTATTTCATTGTCACTGATCAACATTTCGAAACAGAAATTTCCATGATACCTACATGATAACCAACACCGAAGGTACTTAGGTAAAGTAATAAGATATATTATTAATAACAATTAAATCGCCCAATCATCATAATGCGATCATTGGTGTAAAAATAATGGGTACCTAATCATAATACTTATTAAATATCGTAAACAAAGTTTACGATCATGTTAGTGTAAGAATATGCTCAATACCGCCATCTATGTTTCTTCCTTCGAATTGGCATGAGAACGACAATGGTACATTAAGAAAATTAATATCCCTGTGTCTCACTAGATGGTGCTAGCTACCGCTTATGCCATTTTATTGATTGAATGGTATGTTTTCACATTATCTTTACTTTTTATGTAATCTGATAAAAATATTAAAAAATAAACGCAAATCAGGAGGTTATGACTTTGAAAACATTTTTATCAATATGATTGTGCACAGTTTACATTTTATTATTTTGTATTATAAATATTAGTTTACTAGAATATTCATTTTCAGAAAAGAATTAAATGTGTGGTGTGTCTTAGAATCAAAATATGAAATGAATTTATATATTATTATAATTATAATAAAGTCAGCATGCTATTAGAATGTTACAATACTTATTAGATTAGAACATTATACAAATAATAGTTATTGTTTAGCATTACAAATGTAATCTATATGTGTCAGATGTTTGAGGTCAAATGGCATTTTCGTGGAATGCTAATTAAGATGATAACTATTTTTAAACACAAAGAAACTGAAGCTCTTTGATAGGGAACAGACTTGTATAAAATTATGGTGAGCAAATTGTAATCAATATACAATTTTCTGATAATTTCATAGAGTTTATTTTCCCCTATTTCAATGCACTATGTCTATTTATAAGGTGATTTTAAATTTTGTAATTGGAACTTAAAGAAATGACCTTGATATTTAAAAAGGCAGTAATGCCAAATATGTGGCAGACATGTTGAATGTCATAATAAACCACTCCACATGTTCATAGTAAACACAGCTGATAACATTTTAATAATATTTTCATCCCACTTATTTGTTTCTATAAAGCATTACCATTCAGTCCATAACAGTAACATGTTATTACCTATCATATTACAGTGTATTCATGACGAAACTGTACATCTTGTTGTGCAATAGAATATTAGAAAATAGATTTTAATGAACCCCTCTGATTGCATGACATCAACTTATAAGAAACACATTATAATATCCGAACACCCAAACGGATCGTTTGGATCGACATCTAAACAACATTGTTGTGAGTAAAAACACGAGCCGTGATCATAAATAGAATATAATAACGTAGTAAACAAGCGTAACAAAGGAAATTATTCGCTACTTACATTCTGTGATTCCTCCTCCAAAACAGCCATGGCTTCGAAATCAATATTCATTTTTACAATTTAACACACATAAAACACCATAAACGTGATTAACTGAATAACATACGACGATATGTGAAATATACAACAAGGAAATTAGATAATTTGTATCAAAAGTTGCTCTTCAAGGTATTGTTTACAAACTGGCAAGGTCATTTGACATATTTTGGTAAATAATATTGGGTGCGTTCAAATAGAGTTTCGCGAACACCACGCTTCAACAAATAGTAAACTAAAATAATCGACTATTTCAGAAACGTCATCGTGTCAATCGATACCCGCAAATGTTGCCACACGACAAATACAACCTCGACCTCGCTAGTTTTTCTTTCTGTGATAAAAAAATCGTAGCTTTTATGTTTTTTCATTGAACTTGTGATGTGGCCTTAAAAACTATAAACCATTTGTCTGCATATTATTTTAGAATGTGTATTGAGTGCGGTGTTACTGAGGTGATTTTGTATTTTTGTGTGCGGTTAATGCAATAGTGTCATTGTGAGATCACGATGCGTATCGGTTTCGTGTTATATTGGTGCGTATTTGCTTTTCATCTGTGTAAAGCGGAAGATGTGGAGAAGACAGAGAATAGAGATAGTGGCAGAAGGCAGCAGTGGGGTCCCGTGGTGCGGAGTGGGTCTTTTATGAGCGACTCGGCGGTTTCAGCCTCTAACGAACAGAGTAAGTTCTCATGACCCCGAATACGATAATTTTCTCTGACTTCTCATGACACCTGTTGACGTCCTTCACACGAGTCATGTCTGAAACAATTCGTAATTACGAGAATACATGCCAATTATTCATTTTTATACATTTGTAGTTACAAAACATAGCTATTCATAATTTTTTGCCACTTCGCGGCATAAATTTTATGTCTCGTTCTTAGAATTTAGGAAGTTTCTGGCATTTATTTCATTATTTTTTAATAGCATCTCTTCTCTTCTGGATAGTAAAAGGTACCAAAATGACAGTTTCAAATAATACTTTAAAGTTATTTTAAAAATTTTATAGGAAGATTATAGAACATGTAATAAATAAAATTTTGTTACAATTAGTTCTATTAAAATAAATTAATTGGTGCTACTGAAACTATGTCCAATTTTTAAACACATAAAAGACAAATAAGATCAGAATAACAATAACATTTTCAAATTTATACAACTAGACTATTATCATTTCACACATATTAGCTTAATATTAGGAACTTCACTTTCATGTTTCTAAATATGAATATTGAAAAAAAATAAAGATTAATTTAAAATATTTTACCTAATCATTAAACATTCCTATGATTTGAAAATAGAACAATTTGATGAATCTTGCATCACAACAATATTCAACACCCTATAGTCATAAATTAATTAATTTGGAATTCTTGTCTCTTAGTTTACATTACCAAATACATGGTCATATAACAAAATAGTTCTTACATCTCAAGTGTAAAGTCCAATTTTGTTTGTAAGTTCCATATAACCACCAGATGTTTATCATAGACTACTAGTATGGAGGTTTTATTAGTCCACACTTCATCTTACACAGTCAGTTTACAGTTAATTGAGAATAATCTGCACCATATGTTTGTTGTTATGAGTTTTAGACACTGACTTTACATATTATTTTAAACATTCACAAAATCTATGGGTACTTAAGGAAGTAGTTTTTTTTTTTTATTTTAAATAATAATTAAAAAACAATGAATTCCCTTAGTAAAATATATCAAACTTATTGGTCTTAGAAAACTTAAAACATATGATACTCAAGTCTTATAAAGAATAAAGAAAATGTTTGGTATCTAACTAGAAGTTTTCTTCTAATAAGATGTTTTCTAATAATTTACTGAAAAAACAACTTATCACATGAACTATAACTGACAAAAGCACTTTATGATCATAAAGTATAATCGCTAATAGTATATCATAAAATTCCAATGCCTAAGTATTATTTCCTTTTCAATGACTTACTTTATTTATAAAACTTTCAATGTCAAGTTTATTATATTAATAAATCCTTAAAAATTAATTGATTGTTACCACTTATTGATCAATAAAACCTAAAGGCTTTCCTGTTTGGTTTTAACTTTTATTAAGTAACATTTTTATTAATAATAAGGTACTAGCAACTAAGATAGCTAATAAATATTACTAGTTATTAATGAGAAAAAGGAAACAGCTAACTATAAATAAAATCTCTTTTAATTCACATTGACCTTCAATAAATAATGGATTGTGTACCTACAATAGAAATTAAAATAATATGAATAACCAATACTTAAGTATTGTTTGATATAATGTTTCAAAAATAATAGCTGAATGTATTGTGAAAATACAATTTGGCACATATTCAAACATAGACTTGCAAGACTTAGTAACAGAGATGTGAACATTTGTTTGCATTGCTGAAATGTTCCTGGTCATTTAAAATGTGTGCCAAGCTAGGTGTTATAGGTTCAAGAAACCCAAAACACCTAGGTCAGCAGTCATCACCAATCCTGAAACACTAATTAGTATAAAACAAAGTCGCTTTCTCTGTCTGTATATACCTATGTATGCCTAAATTGTCAACACTACACAATGGATTTCAATCTATTTTTTTTTTAAATAAGACTGATTCAATAGGGATGTTTATGTAACAACATCTATTAAACAGTAGAGAAATTTAGTATCTACTCAGGAAAAACCATTAAATAGCCCGTTCTGTTAAGGCAGTGAAGAGGGAGGGAGTGTCAGAATCTTATTGACTAAATACATATCCCTTTTGCCATCCTTCGGACCAGAGTGTGATACATTATTGTGTTTGCACTTGGGTGTGCTAACCTTGTAATCACTCTTGAACTACAGATTACAATTAGCATCCTCTTCTGCTGAATTTGAAGTTTAAAACATAATTTCGACCTTGTAAATTAAAAGTATGATGTCATTTTTATGTCAAACATATTTTTTTAATAGAATCGTTTTTATATGTGTTACCCCAAAACCCATAAACTATTGACTGTGATTGTATTCATCTGTTTCATGTTTGTGTGGTGTGATCTGTAGATGTAATGTGTATACAATAATGTAAACTAACCTTTAAATAGAATATCAATTATCCTTGTCTGACAACTTTGTTGTTAAAATTAGCACTTGTGTGAGAATGTATAATAAATATTCTGCTGTCGCCAGGCATATTGTAATTGGAACTATTGGGATATTTGGGTGATATAAAATATTATTATTATAACCAATATTATGGAATGCTTTATTTCCCGTAATATTATTATTTCTCTGTTGTGTACATGTATAGGAAATAACATGAATTTTCCTGATAAATATAACAATATTTTCTACTATGTTTCGCCTAAATTGCGCTGATTACTGTAAAAAGTTGATCTTAAATCATTAAATCCAGTTGAGAGTTAGTATTCAATATTTTTAATACAAATAAGTATGTTATGTATTTGAAATTATTGGCTGAACTATAAATAAACACGAGTCAGTCGTGTGATTATTATAAAAAATCGTGAAATGAACAAGATAACCTACCTATGATTGAAATAATCTTTCGACTGACAGATAAAAATAATTCCGTCTGTCTGACTAATGCGGTGAAATGTTAGTTTTGATTGAGAACACTATTTACATGGTTTCATCAGCTGTCTTTTGTGAAGTCATTCAACTGTCAAAAGTGGCGTGGCGAGACCACACACTGTGGAGTTTGAGTGAAGCTTCTGTTTTAAGGTCTAATCACATTAGTGACACCAACCTATATTGTGAATGAGCTAGTGCGACGTGCGTATCGTTTCACCCATTTTGTTTGACAATGACGCGACCTCATTAATCTGAACTTGTCTACTACGAAGCAAAGACCTCTCCTTTATTTTTTGTCTGCTACGAAAAAAGGACCTCTTCTTTAAGTTGAAGGTGTTGCCAAAATCGCTAGTCTTCTTGAACAGCTGGGGATTGCAGACGTAAACGACAGACACGGGGAGCAGCCTCCACCTGTGAAAATATGACGAGTGAGTTTTCTATCTCGTCTTTTTGATCCCCGACGCCAAAAAAGACGTGTGTTACAAAGGTCTGTCTGGACTGTCTGTGATATCTTAGCGCACACAATACTCACAAACGGATGGTTGGATTTTGATGCGATCGAATTCTTATGAAAATTAACTTTATGATAATTATTTTTCTGATCATTGGATTTGCATCAGTAACATAGTTAACTGGACTTTGTTGGTCGAAGATGTAAAAGATAATTCGTTCGATTATTAGTCCTGCCCCAGCTTCGCACAGGTGCAATGCTGATACTAAATTTCTCCACTATTTAATGGATGTTACTATCCAAATAAACCATCTCCCTCAATCATGCTATCTATAAAGAAAAACGCATCAAAGTCCGTTCCGTAGCTTCAAAGATTTAAGCATACATAGGGATAAAGGGACAGAGAAAGCGACTTTGTTTTATACTATGTAGTGATGCTATTTAACATTAATGTCTCTGACTGCGTAGACAGAATTAGGTACACTACTTTTATTCGGAGAAAGTGTAGGCAGAAGACCAGTAATACATACCACCTACTTAATTTTTCAGTAGTTAGTCATTATAAGAAAACATGATATTGTTTTAATTTACTTTGTCTAGATAAAATTGACACTCTTAAGTAGTGCAAATAATGTCTGACAGATGAGGAAACACGAAAGGAAAGTTAAGTAAATACTTACTGTGCTTTATAAATACAGAATTTATTTATTTTTAAAGTCGGTTAAACTCATTTATTTTGTAGCGCGATTTAAGCTAGCAAACATGGATGTTTGCTTATCAGATTATATGCAAGTATCATTTGTTTGTTGAACCATATGAACTGTTAGATAAGAGAGGAAAACAGTAGATACAAAAGTTTCCTCATGATGGTCAATTATTTTTTATTGCGGTCTCTACTAGTTAAGGTAAATTTTAAGGTTTGATCTTCTAGAAGGTTGTGTATTAGCCTCTTTCAACCCACTGTTGGACATGGACCTCGATAATTATATGCTGGATCCACACACATATAAAGCCCGGCTTAAAACCAAAAGAAAATATCAACGAGTTTATAATATGACCTAAAATATTACTTTACAACACTATTTCAATATACAACTCACTCTGCACACATACGTAACCCGACTCCCGAAAGACTTAATAAATAAATCAAGTGCCCACATATTTTTAAGTGCACACACACTAAAGAGCACATAAAAACTATTTCATTTTTATATAACTATTCCCGGTAAGTTTATTTAATGGCTTCAAATAAAATAAATGTTTGGGAGTTATCCGATATTTGCACGAGACGGTGTTTCTTGCAGACGGTACGTGAGTCATCAGAAATCTCTTTAGTCTCAGATCAATGGCAGACGAATGATCGTTCGATGCGTGTTTTCATCTTATTTTAGAACTCAGCATCGTGACGACGTGCCATCGATTGTAACTGAATTACGAAACGATTTACGATACCCGGTCGTACCCAGGGGAAAGAATTTTTAGCTCGCGTTTGATAAAATTGTCAGTCAAGTCAAATCATTTACTTCAATTAGAATCTTACAGGCACTTTGGAACGTCAAACATAGCTTAAAGGTAAAAAGTGTTAGTCTGTCGGTCAGTCCTCTTACTGAAGTTATTTGCTCATTCAAAAGTGTAAATTCCGATGGAGAAGAACCAACAAGAAA